GGCTCCAAGGCCCCCAAATCCGTCTTCCCACGACCCGTCTGTAAAGATCAGGATGGTTCTTGAATTGATAGCCACTGGGATGGTACGTGGTCTGGTGTTTTCCAGCAACACTAGGACGTCACAGCACCAGTCCTGTGTTGGTTCAGTCATGTTCTGACCTTTGCCCACTAAGGAGAAAATTTTGAAACAGCTGTATCTCAAAGACCTCCCCGCAAACTATCCTGTGGCAAAGTTTAGCAACCCATGAATCTCTTGTGCCTCTGGAAGAGACATTTGGCCCGATTGCTGGATCTGCAGTACTTTTGCCGCTATCTTTTCAACCCTGCCTTCTTTGTTTTTCAAGGTGAGGTGTCCCGTCGATTCCAAGTTACTCAGGTCTAGAGTCATACCCAAGACATCGAAGGATGGCGAGAAGGGCTTTCCCTTGGGGCCCGTCCTGTCGTGACGCCAACCCAACAACCAAGAAATCCGACACCAGGGCATCAGTGTCTTGAGAAGAACCCTCAGGCGAGAACATGGGATAATCATCGAAGTACACCGCAGAGGGTACCTTGAGAACTACGTTCACCAAGAACCAAATGGACCTGCTCACCCTGTTAAATGCGTACACGGCGGCTGTGGAGCCAAACATAAGGGCATTGGGGACATAGTACCTAGGCTTGCCTTGGGAGTCTCTGAAAAACACAACAGCTAGGTCCCTATGATCGGGCCTGATGGGAAGCTGCTTGTAAGCTTTCGAAAGATCCAGGGTTTTACCAACCCAGTTCAGTCCCTTGTGTTTGCCCAATTTCAGTGCCATGGCCACAACGTAATCCGCATCCTGCAGGTCTAGTCTTATAGTGGATGTGTACGCAGAATTGAGTTGAGCTTCTAACCCATCGTCTATAGGCCTCAGCTTTGCTCCCTGCTCAATTACAAACCTTCTCATGATTCTCCATTTTGAGTGCCCCAACAGGTTGGTGACTTCCTCCGCGGAGTGGAAGGGGCCTTCTAGGAAAGCTAAATCCACCTCCTCTTGAGCCGTGGATTCCAAATGCTCTGCAAATCCCGGGGAGTCCGTATGTGGCTTCCTCATCTCGAGGGCCAACCGGGATGGTACTGCCGAGTCTCGGAGCTCCTCCTCCGTGGTAGAGGCTAGCTTAAGCTTCATAGCATAGCAAGAGGGGTGATCATGGGTTCCTACAAGGGGGACCCCTTCCTTCATGAAGTGGACTACTTCCATGTCATCATAATTGTTGAGTTCAAGCAGTTTCTCCCACAACAAGATCTTCTTGTCCTGAACCTCTTTTTGAATTGATGTTGGGAGGCTAGCGTGGAGTTCTTTTTCCTGGCTTTCCAATTGCCTAGCCAGATTTTTTGCCTTTAACAGGTTCTTTTTCCTCTCTATGGATACTAATCTTGAAGAGCTCTTGGCAACAAATTCTATGGCATCATTTGTAATTTTGTGCAAGGCATTCTCTTCCATCGGGTGCGGAGAGTGCAGAGCTTTGTTTACAAATTGTTCCGGGGTGTGCCATGTCCCCACAAGGATTTCTCCAGTGGTTATCTGTGTCTGATCACCTTCTTGGTATTTCCCCCTGCTGGAAGAAGGGATCAATTCTTGGTTTCCTGAGATTTTATATGTTTTCGGATGCCAGTCTGTTGTGGAAAACTCAGGGATGAGCTGGCTCCTTTTCTTATGCTGGCGATGTTGGACCGCCAGGGTCTTGATTCTTGGATTAGGGGGTGGACTAAAAATCAAGTTTCGTTGCATAAGAAAGTTTTTGACAGCCATTGCCACACGGCGTGTCAGCAACTCAGGGTAAGCTGCTTCAGCTGCTGTGTCGAATGACCAGCTGCCGTTGGTTTGTTGAACCTGGTATGGCAGGTGTTCGTGATCACCAGCACATGTGGCTTCGAGATGGGCGAAAACTCCTGGAGTGGATTTCCAACGGGTGCCTTTCTTGCGCTGACCCCCGTGGCAGCAATTATGAAAAAATACCTCAGCAAGAGAATCCCAAAACTTGACTAATTGAGGATCGTTTTGAGCCTGTACATATGCCAAAATGGCTGCCCAAAACCAAGACCGGTAAGGGTTTTCCAAGCTAATCACTGAGTTGTATTTCTGAGCAATTAGAAGGATGTCAATGACAAATCTGTACAACTGGTTTGCTTTGCTCAGTCTTATGCCGGATGTGCTATCTGGATTAATGTGGGGAAGGCCTAGTGGGTGATCGGCTGATCGCAGGTGCGGAGGCTGTGGTGCTCCCTGGAGAATTTTATCCCTGGCAACGGGCCTTTCCCGGGCTCGGGATGCAGTGCATGCCGCATGGCATACCCAAATGAATATAGTCTGGTGGTCGGTTATTCAAAAGATCAATTAAGATTTTCTGATGTTGGACCTGTGTCAAATCCAAGAGGGTGACTGGCACTTGGGGGTCATGAAGCATATGATCCACAGCTAGTACGGAAAAACCTGCGTCAATCAGACTTCTGGACAAGGTTGCTTTCCCACAACAGATTTCGACGGCAAACGGTTGCTGAGGTGAAACTATGGAAGGCAAAGGATGAATGGTTTGATCTTCCTTGCCTTCGCTTGACTGTGATTGTCACTCTTTGGAGTGACTGCACTCATGGTATGGCTTGGGCTTATGGCATCCCTGTTTGTAGCAGAGATGATAGCCTCTCTGACAACGAGGCCCAGACCCTCGAAATCCACAGATGCCTTTGTTGTATGCGAAGCACAAAGGCTTTCCATCTGGGGTTTTTGCAACGCAGCCCTGTGGAATGTCGATCGCCGACGAGGATCCTTTGGACCCTTTGGACTTTCCTTTGCCTTTGCTTTTGCCCTTGCCTTTGCCTTTTTGGTACTTGTTTGGACGGTCTTCATAATCCGGTTGCTGCCTCTTATCTGGCTTAGGAGCTCCTGCTTTGGGCATAGATTTCATTGGCATGGGCATGAGGTATGGCATGAGCTCTGGGGAAGTGCGGAGCGTTGCGAGCTCTTTATCCAAGGGGGTCACTGCGACCCCCGGTTCGGCTTGCAAGGATCCTATTAAGGCATTGGATGCACGGATGAACATTTGCTTGTCACACTCGATGATCTGTTGCAAGGTCACGGACGCAAATCCTGATGGCTGAGCTCGTTCGTGTGACAGAAACAAATGCTGAACCCAGCGTTCAATCTCTGTAAAAGAGCACAACTTTGCTTGATCCATGGCAAGGGATCGGCGTTGGAAGGCATTGCGTAGATCCAATTCTGAGCTAATGGTGCATGTGCTGTTCATGGTCTTTGAGCTAATCTTCAAGTTTCCGGCTGCATCTAAAGAAACTTTGGGGTCTCTCTTGAGTGACTGGATTTCCTGTGCTCTGGAAGTGCAATCCTCGGGCTTGATCCAAGAAAGAACTCCTTGCTCCACCATGTTGACACATGTATCCACTAAGGCATGGCTCGGGATGATTTCTGGACTGAAAATCAATCCTTGCAGTCGCTGCTCCTGCTCTGTCTGGCGACTTTGACGCTCTGCAACTGGAAGCTTTCTTGCTGCTAATTGAGGGTCCGATGGTTGATCCACCTTGCGCTGCAGGTCGTTCAATGCTAATGCGTGACTCTCCACCACTAAGCGTCTCACACAAGATACTTGATATGGGCTTAGGTCTCGGGTGGTGACCTTGAGCAGCCAGGCTTCTAACACTGCATCTGTGATCTGCTGCGGAGTTGTGGATACTGCGAACGCCAGGGATCCGAAGGTTTCAAACCCTCTGTCTTGTAACTCGCCCTTGAGGGCATCTTGGATTCCCAATTGCTTTAGCCTGTCTGCAAAAGCAACTTTGCTGTCAAGAACGGACATGGCTGTCAGACGTAATTGGATCTTGCTGTTAATATAAGTTGTATGTGGAGAATAGTTTGTCCTGTCTCTGTCGAATGTCAGGAGGGCATCCTGTCTGCCTAGTTGTGGTGTGGCATGCATGTGTGCAATGCTCTCTGATGAACATTTTGTTTGAAGATACATGTAAAGTCTATTCCTGGTTGTTCTTTCAAACCTGGTGATGGAAAATTGTTCCCAAAAATTGGGCTGCGGCCATGCACAATGAACTTGAATCTGATTTCATGCTCATTGTGACTGCAATCTGTCTTAAATTTATCTGACTTTGCAGTGCGGCTCTGATGCCAACATCTTCAGTCTCGCTGGTCAGCCGAGCTGCCTCAACTTTTTCCTCGCCGCTGATCACGACTTATGTCCGAGTCCTATTAATCGGCAGGTCTAAGGTCGATGGGTGCGCTGATGATAATCATCATATCTTCCATGGTGTCAAAAATCAACTGCATGGATGTCTCCAACTGGGTTCCTGGATCACAAGCCAGAATCAACTCTTGCACGGTCTCTTAGGCTTGATCCAGCTCAATTTGGAGAATGCAATGGTCCAGCTCCCTTAAGGCCCTAAAGCCTCTTGTCCGATGAGGAATGGCCCCAATTGCCGATATGGATATGTCAGCAGACGCTTCCAGTTTGACTCCTTTGAAGGAGCATAATGCCCTTCGGGTATTCACCCACAAGTCGCCCAGGTGCTCGGTCAAATTGCTCAAGCCCAGGTGTCGGATCACCCTGCTGATGCATTCTGCCAAGCTCTCCAATTTTTCCTGGCAGTCAAACCGATTTTTTGGATCATCCCCCATCCAGGAATCATGACCATAAAGGACTGAATCTCAAGTGCCAACATTGCGGATATTGGATGGAGCGATTCTGGTATCAGATTTAGACTGCTGAAAGCCAAAATGAACTCTGGTGAACACTTTTGAGACTAGACTCGATCACTGCTGATCACGTCTAATCGTTTTGATATATCGCAGTTTGCGCGTCTCTTTCAATGTTCCTTCTTGACATCAAACTTGATCTCTGCTGATCCTGGTTAAGATTGAAACATTTATGTTAACATGTAAGTGACTCTTCAAAGTTGACATCTTTCACTCTGATGTGACTGAAACTGAGGTCGCGCTCCTTTTTTCTATCGTCGCATGCTCAGCTCGATTTAGCTGCTACTCCTAGTTGGCGGCCGCAAAGGATGCAGTATTCCATGTCTTCGGTATCGGCTTTTTGTAACTCTACGTAGTTCCCGGTCACTGGACGACCGCACAACGTGTAGTCTCCCAACGGTTGCAAGGCATGGACAATGCCACTCTTCCTGTGGACGATGCAATCTACCTCCTGTTCACTTGGAAAGGGTTTTCTGCCTTGCACCTCTTCCTGATTGCTCAAAACTCCAACTAGGGCTTGATCCTCCTCACTGGACTCTGATGAAATCTCCCATGGATCTGCTTCGTCCGGCACCTCACAGGTGGGCTGTGGAACTTCCGGATGAGCTGGCAACCCTGAGACCATTTCTGTTGCAGCATCCATAATCCGTTCAAGAGCTGTCGAGTCAGGGCGAAAGGATCCTGCTTGGATCTGCTGAAAGCACGCCAGCACCTTGGCGTATAGGCTGGTAAAAGCTTCCCTCGAGTATGTGAGGACAGACCTGTCTGTGATGGCTTGATGTGATGTCCAAGAGTTCTGCGTTCTGACATCGAAAATTTGATGGATGTCGATCTGGCGGCCATGGTGAGCAAACCCGTCTTGAGAGAATGGGTACCTATCTTGTTGAGATCAATCTTCAAATCAGGCAGAGGCAGGCATTCATTGATGAAATCCTGAAGATAACCCGTGGCTTCTGAGCTAGACATTGGAGTGGTTGACCATCTTCCCGTTTTGCAACTGAATGCGGGTAGGAAAGGATCCGGCTCCCGTCCAAGCTCCTCTGCCCTCGAATTGATCCACTTCTCTGCCCAAGGTTCTCCACTCACTCCGGTGCCTATTGCTGCGTAGGGCAGGAGACGGGTTTGAGCCTCTTTTGTCACCGATGTCGTCGATCCGAGAGCTTCACCTGTGACCAGTGATGCACCCTCTGCTTTCTCCAGTTTTAGAGACTGGATCCGGAGACTGTCTGACCACCGGCTCGCTGCATGAAAACACCACAACAGTTGGCCCAGCACGCACACCTGAACTTCGTCAATTTTCTTCATCAAGAGCCTCTCCATCGCAGCAATCAGTAGACACGGGATTGGGTCTTTCTGATTAAGAGGGGCCTTCCTGAGATACTGTTGATATGCAAACCCTGTCACTCGAGGTGACAACACCAAGTCGAGGTTGGCAAAGGTCAGCACTGCTACTGAGTCCAGGAATCTCAACGCTTCTATGAATCCTGATGCTGCTGTTGGTCCCGCCCTTTCACTTTCTAAATGGCCGAGGTAGCTATAGATGTCAAATTCCTTCAATCTCAAGGGTGAACCTCTATGATTAAGCCTATCAAACCAACTTACGTACCGCGTTAGGGCACAGGCTCTCTTATAAAGAGTGTTGGGTGATTTTCGGCTGAAGGCTTGATCTAACGACCTACGGAGGTCCACTTCGTCCATCGGTCGCGAGGAAGTTGGGACTAACAGTTCCCCCAACCGGGATGCAGCAGGATCCAGAAGGATGATGTGCTTCAACTTTGCGATGCTTGCGTCTCTCAGGTCATCATCGGACCTCATTATCCTGGTCCTCCGAGCATGAACTAACCTCTGATTTGCCACTACGGAGTCTTGGCTCTGGTGTTCTGCTTCCGGGGATGTTTGCAGGAGTGCAATGCTTTCGGCAGGCAACTGGAACATCATCGACAGCGTTTGGGATGGGCTGTCAAGAGCAAAAGACGATCTTAAATCCATCAATCCAGCTTGCTTGACCCTTTTGACTTCAGAAGTTACCCACTCCGATGTAGCATACCTCTTCCAGGAATTCTGATCTATGGGGTCCTTAGGGCTATCGATGGGTGGATTATACACTTGATCAGGGAATGATTCCGAAGGCTCATATAAATCTGGAGTATCAGCGGTGTCTTCTAAGTGACGGATCTCTCTTAGATAGTCTTCTTGATCCCCAGGTTCTGCCAAGAAATCATAATCCCCTTGGATGAACTCAGGCAAAAGGTCGGATGCTGCAAACGGATGCTCGGATGTTTCGGCCTCGGATGGGCCGTCTGTACACCGGATTGGCTCGACCGCGGCTTGGGCTCGATCAGTGGTTTCCACTGCCGCCGTGGACTGAACCTGACGTAGATGCACGATATAAAGGAAGGCCGTTAATCAAATTTCAGTGTTTGACAATTCACACGTACCATCTCTGAACGACTCTGATGTCAAAAGTGCCATTCAACTCAATCCCTGGATGCCTCTTCCAAAGATCTTCTGGGGCCACTCGCGAGGTCCTCCGAATCACTAGGTGAATTTGCTTTCTTTGATCAAGATTCAGGTTCGGATACCATTGGGGCCCTACGGCAATTCGGAGCTCATGATGCTCCTCAACAGCAGGCCCTCTTGCAAGCCCAAGGGATGAAGTCACCTGCAAATGGATCACAGGTTAGTATTAGGAAGATCCTATCGGGCATCACGTGACCATTTGGGCTAGGTTTGCGATCGTGCCTCTGTTGGCCCTTCCTTGTCCTGCCCAGTCAAAAACAAATCAATCCCCAAATTCTCTGCTCACCCACTGGTAAGACTCTGATGTCTACTGTCATGAGATCCATCTCAGATGATGATCACTGTTCTTGGGTGCCAGACGAATTCTCGGGCGAAGTCTTGCCCTTCTCCAGCCGTTTCGCTCCCAACTGGATTGAACTCCACCTGCAACCAGGTTGATCTGAATGATCCTGAATGATTGCACTTAAAAGACTCTGTCTTCGTGTAAGTGAGATTACTTGGATCCTGCCTCTGTTGACTCCAAGCTCACCTTCACAAACATGTGATGAAAACAAAGTGAATCAATGTCACTCACGGTCGACTCTGATGCCAACTGATTAGAAAAGAGCGGAGTGTTCCAAATAACTCAGATGTCTTTAGTTGAGGTCCGCACATCCTCATTTCTCACCTGTTCAGGTAATGGGGGGATTGTCAGTGATTTTTCTGTTTAGTGTCTCTACATTTGTAAACGCATCTGGTTCAACGACTCTGGTGTCGATGATTCTTTCTAGAATCTGGTTAGGGTCGTGTTGAGGCTCCAGCATTTCCCCCGGGTCGAGAGCCCCAACGCGCCCGACCGTATGACATGGAAAAACTGAAGCCACATACACATCGGGTTGTGTGAGTGTGTATGATGAGTAATGTGGCACGGAAGCTGATTTCCGTCATATCACGGAGATGAGCCCATGCCCTGCTCCTGGCCTCGTTCAGGGCCAACTCTGGTGTCCTGCCCTGGTCCTCGTAGTAGGCAATGATTGGATCGAGAACACAGTTCAGCTGAATTTGCAGCTGGGTCTGCAGGTCAGGCGGCAACACCAAGTGGTCCTGAAGGGGATCAAGTGGGCCAGCATCCGGATGAAGTGGAACAGCAGGTGCACCAGGATCTTCTGTAGCTGGCTCAGCCTCTTCTATCGCAGCGTTGGCTGAGGCTTCATCATCTTCCGACGAGTCTGACGCGTCCAAGTCCATTGCAGCTCCTGGCAAAGGTGGTGGTGGTGGAGGCCGAATCCAAAGTGCCACACCTTCAAGTTCAGCGGCCGCTCCCAAGTGATTGTGGATGTCCGCCAGGACCTGATGGATGCTTTCGTCCTTGGCGTATGTGAAATACGCCTGTGGAGCCAACGGCGGCAACTGGGTGCCTTGATTCAAGTAGAACGTGTTGACCTCCACAAACTGGTCCGGTGGCACGCTTTCGGCTTTGCGCATGGCTTGGACGTGATGTCAGCTAAGAAAAATTTTCAAATTGAAAGTGATTGAAAGTGGAATTGATTTTTTGATGACCATGTTCAAGACAATCTGTTGTACATTTGTTTGAACAGTTGTGAGCATGGATAGAAACATGAGAGGCTCTGTTGCCTTGCTTGCCTTCTCTGATGAAGGACTTTAAGCTAAATATCACGTCATTCATAAAATCACTCCAATTTCACATGTTTGATGCAAGAAGATTTTTCTCAATGACTTGACAGCTTTTACTTATCGATCTATGTTTCTTTGACATGGTTAAACTCAAACGCTAAGATCTTTTGTCATTTGAATTTGCCATACATCAGTTTAGGATTTTTGGGAAATTTCATGTATGTGTACATGAAATAAATTCAAGTCACAGTTCCAAGAAAGTACTATCCACGTTGTGTAAACGCCCATAACTATAACTAATGGGGTTATTTTAGCCAATTTACAACTGGGGGGCCCGACATTTTTTTTCGTGCATCGTGCGTGAATGGTTTGGACAACCGAAAGTGTTTTGGTCGGTACCCCAAAATCCAATGGTTTACCCTCTGGTGAACATACAAAAAACTATGGAAAATCACAATTTTTAATGGAAAACTCACTATTTCAATGGCCATTTTCAATAGCTATGTTAGTCATAACCAGAGGGTATCATCACATTTCTGACTAAAGTAGCATTAAATTGGAGTTATACCCCATTTTCAGACACAACCAAATGTCACTTATCCCATAAAATCTCCCGCGAAATATCCAATTACAGCACCATAAATGGTTGGTTTTACTGACCATGGTCCCATTAAGGCCATAACGGGTGAGATAGCATCAAGTTGGAGCAGACCGAACCCTCGAAAAATATCTCACACGTTGCCATGGAAAATGGGTTATGGAGATAATACACAAATCATCATACAATGGGACTTTAATGGGAAAATAGTGTACTTTTTAAAGGTTACCAAATGGGATGTTCAAATCTGCTTGGTGGTTGAGCCACCCCTTGAACAACATGCTGCTCATTGGGAATCATCATCCCCAATGTGGTTGAAACATGCTGAAATTAAACATATTTGACACATTTTGAAACCAACCAACAAACAGTTTTGGTGAATTGCGAACTGCAACATCCAGTCATGATTCGCCTAACGATGTCTGAACGATGTGGAATAACACTGCTGAAGTCTCCATCTTCCGAAATCCTCATGACTGGTTGGTGGTTGACCTAGCTACCATTGGTTGGTAATATACTGTTAATCATATGGTTAATATATATATATATGGTTATTATATGGTTAATGATAATAATGATAATAATATTCTGGTTGGTGGTTGACCTACCCCCTCTGAAAAATGATGGAGTGAGTTCGTCAGTTGGGATTATGAACTTCCCAATTTGTTTGGGACATAAAATTCCATGGTTCCAAACCACCAACCAGATGATCTACCATGATCTGCCGAGATACTATGTCCTATGGGCTTGTTTTTGTTTGAATTTGATAAGGGAAAAAGGGGAACCATCAACTTTGAGGTTTTCGGTGTTCCCATCATCAGACAAGCCAGAATATTCAATTCCCCCCTTGACTGGGCGACCAAAATGATCAAACGTACATCTCACCCGGGTTCCACTGGGGCCAGTCTATAAGTGTTAACCCTGAATTAATACACCCGCAATTTATATGATGGTTTCCCAACATAGTGATGATTCCCTTTATAATTGATTTCCCACCAATTAATAAACTGGTAACTGGAGCACCATATTCATATTGGTAATATGTTCCTACAAATGAACCACCTGATGATTACTATTTATATACTACTATAATATTGTACATATTGGTACTGTTAAAATGTCAACCCCGGATGAGACTAAACCATGGTTTATTAATTAGGGTGTTCTGTGACCTGCTCACAACTGTGCCGACTGCGGAGTATCATCCCAGCACTACCGAAAACATCCCCAGTTAGTTCGGTGATTTTCATACTCAAATTATTGGAGTTTAAGGGAAAAATTGCAGGAAAACCCCATATTTCATAGGAAAAACCCATGGTTTCCGGTTCAGATTTTCCCAACAAAACCAATCCAATGATCAAACCTCCATTCTCCGCCATTTTTCAGGCATTTTCCATTGCCATGTGTACCCTCTGGTAAACGTTTACATATCCATTGAAAATGGCCATAGAAATCGTTGATGTACCCATTACAAATGGTGATTTTCATTCTTATGTTAGTTTACCAGAGGGTACCGGAGGGTAAGGGACTTATTATCGTCGTTGCTACTCACTTCCGATCTGCTTCGAATCCTCACAAAGTGACCAACTTCTGCTCATAAACTCTATGCGATGGTATATATACATATATATATATATATACATATATATATATACATATATATATATATACATATATATACATATATATATTTACCTACAGTTAGCATATGGGATACCGTCTGGTAAACGTTTACATAGCTATTGAAAATGGCCATAGAAATCGTGGATTTTCCCACTAGAAATGGTGATTTTCCATAGTTGTTTGTTAACGTTTACCAGGCCGGGTCATGTTTTTTATCCGGAAATCATCTTCCCATTTTTTCAATCTCCCGCCATTTTACATAACTCTCCCAGAATATGGTGGTCGAGTCTATCCGACTACGAATCCACGGAACCAAAGCTCCAGCAGCAGCTCGCCTTGGATCAGAGTATGATAGCTTTACCATTTGGTTATATATTTAACATAGCCATAGAAAAATCACCATAGAAATAGATGGTTTACCGTTCTTAATAACATGGTGATTTTCCATGGCTATGTAAAATAACCAGAGGGTATAACCAGAGTATGATATTTATAGCTTTCCATATATCATAACTGGTTGGTGGTTGACCTACCCCTCTGAACAATATGAGTCAGTTGGGATTCCCAATATATGGAAAAACACATGTTCCAAACCACCAACCAGATCATAAGGGATACCCGCAAATCCATGTGAAAATGGGATGTTCCACTATAAACCATCCAGCTATTATCCATTGGGGTGCCCCCATGACGAAGGTCTGGCGACCGCATGCGCGAAAGAGCTCGAAGTCGTTCGAGTAAGTCAAGGTAACCTCAAGCCAAGCTGGTTGGTGGTATACCTACCCATCTGAAAAATGATGGAGTGAAAGTCAGTTGGGATGATGACATTCCCAACTGAATGGAAACATAAAATTCATGTTCCAAACAACCAACCAGGCTAAGTTGAGATATTTCAGTGGCTGAAGTCTATGGTTTATGGATGTTTATGGTAGATATATATATACACACACCAACCAGCAAGTATTTCGAGGTCACAACTCTTTTGGGATTCTGAACTTTTCCAGATGGATAATCT